TTTCTTTGACATTTGACCAAGAATGCTGGAACAGAGCAACGTGTTGTGGAAGGCCTGGTCCTGCCTTCCAAGGGCAAGCCTCAGGGGTCCATTCAAAACCCTTTCAAATAAGACCTTCCACTTGAGATTCAATAGCTGAGAAGGTCAACTCATGGAGAGTCCGAGACAAAGGGGACATTTGTCTGGTTTGGCCTCAGCACGGTTGTCAGGACTCTTTTTCTAAAAGCAAGCCTGTTACTGTTATTGTTATCACTGTGCTGTCATCGTCATTGTTTTGACAGTTGGGCATGGAGGCAACCATTCTCACTCACGCAGATAAGGGCACAGGGGACCCAGGCTCAACTGAGAAGGCCACTGGCCCCTCTGAGACACAACCATCTGATTGGAACCCGCTGCAGAAGTCTGCACATAAAAGTTCCTCCACAAAATCAGTGGCTATTTAGTGAGCACCTACTATGTGCCAGGACTTGTACAAGGTTCTAGGCCTGCAAGGGGTCCATTCAAAACCCTTTCAAATAAGACCTTCCACTTGAGATTCAATAGCTGAGAAGGTCAACTCATGGAGAGTCCGAGACAAAGGGGACATTTGTCTGGTTTGGCCTCAGCACGGTTGTCAGGACTCTTTTTCTAAAAGCAAGCCTGTTACTGTTATTGTTATCACTGTGCTGTCATCGTCATTGTTTTGACAGTTGGGCATGGAGGCAACCATTCTCACTCACGCAGATAAGGGCACAGGGGACCCAGGCTCAACTGAGAAGGCCACTGGCCTCTCTGAGACACAACCATCTGATTGGAACCCGCTGCAGAAGTCTGCACATAAAAGTTCCTCCACAAAATCAGTGGCTATTTAGTGAGCACCTACTATGTGCCAGGACTTGTACAAGGTTCTAGGCCTGCAGTGAGCCACACAGCAAGATGCTTCCCTAAGGTGGCACTTAGAGTCTGGTCGGGGAGACAGACACTACAACAGGGGTGGAGTCTGGTTTTGGTTTTAAGCACATAATGGCAAACTGTGATTCCCACTATAAAGAGAACAGAGTGTAACATCTGAGGCCAACAAGGGAGGGAAATAGAAAGATCTGGGGATGCCCAAGGGATTGGACTTTCCTGATGGCTCAGAGTAAAGAATCTACCTGCAATGCAGGAGACCCAGAGTTGGGAAGATTCCCTGTAGAAGGGAGTGGCAACCTACTCTAGTATTCTTGCCTGGGAAATCCCATGGACAGAGGAGCCTGGCAGGCTACAGTCCAAGGAGTCCCAAAGAGTCGGACACGACTGAGCGACTAACATTAAGGGATTGACGGAGGTCTTAGAAAGCTGTGTGGCACTGGGCTAAGCCCTCACTTGTCTGAACCTGTTCCCTGCAAATCAAACAAGGGGTTACATTACCTATTCCTGAGTTGCTGAGGCACAAAATATGACCTCCCACGGAAGGTACCCAGCACAAGTCCTGCCCCGCAGTAGCCTCTAAGTGGGGTTAGTTCCTCTGCATTGATTGAACCTAGGGCTAAGCCTCCAAACCATTTAGCCTTTGGAACATTCCAATCCATGCTAAATACCTGAGGAGACCAAAAAGAGCCCCAGTTGCCTGCAAGCTCAGGCAGAGGCCTTGGGAATTTAGGAACTTCCCAAGGAGCCTGTCCAGGGCACACCCTGGTTTTGAGAAGAGATCCTACCTGCCTCCTCTTCCTAAAACATTACACCCTAGTGACATGAACAAAACAGTCCTGTCTTCATTACTGTATTGTCATTGTCAAGTTTACTGTTGCTATTACTACTAGTAATGATAATAGTGATGGCAGTGTTTTTATTGCCTGTTTGCCTACTCAGTCTTTTAAGGGCTTCCATGATTTTCTCTACACGCCCAAAATCCACCCAATTATCTCTCAGAAACAAAGGGGCTGTCTAATAGTCTAACACAAGACTCAGCAAGCACCTTATAGAAAGGGCCACAGCATAAACATTTGAGGGTTTGTGGGTCTCTGTAGTGACTGTGTGAAAGCAATTATCAGAAAAGATGAAAACAAATGGATAGGGCCATGTCCCAATAAAACTTTATTTATAAAGACAGTCAATGGGGCTGGAGTGAGTTGATGTGCAGGCCATAGTTTACATCCTCTAGGCTTTAAACGGCTTCTCACATGACATGGAGGATGTATACAGGGTGATGTGCTCACAGTTACCTTATTTTGAACAACATATGAGAGTATTGTTGTAGAAACTTATACATCACTTGATGGAATCATTTAACAATCTTTGTAGTTGGTGGGCTTAATTCTTTTTTTTACTACATTTTTCCAAGTGATCCTGAGATGTTTATACATTTAACTACTTAACTAAAGATTTGTCTGTCTTGGTGAAAGACTGGTTGGAAGACAGTAACAAACCCTACAAGGGACTATGGTGCAACCCATAATGAAAATGGATATTTACTAAATCTACAGAGATTTAGTAGATATTCATAAGAAAGTGATCTCTCAATTACAAGTGTTAGAAATTTGAAATGAACCTTTGTAGATCAGACCTAGTAAAGCTAACCTATAGGATAAATGAAAATGGACTGCAATGAGAAGTGAATAAATGAGTGGGCATGTATTGCTTAGAATAAAATTTTCAGTGAAGACATAATGTTGACATTTGGAAAAGGGCTATGTTTTGAACAACACAGGTGAAAATGAAAGTGATTTGCTCTGAGCCTTCCATGTGATGCCTGAAAAAGTATCTCAAGTGATGAGAAAGACATAGGTGGGAAGCTTAGGAAGGGTTTGAAGAAAACAGGGTTTTTAATGGGAAGGTTAGGGAGAGAAAGCATCGATTTCTAAATTAATGTACTATTTTAACATAGGAAGTGATTTAAAATGCTGTTTCTATAACTAAATTAATACCTCAAGTGGTGGGAGACATCTGATTATTTCATCTCCATGTCCTTAAAAGCTGGTACATTTGAGCTGTTTAAAAAATGGCAATTTCTCCTTGGGAAAATAGGAGGGTACATGATGGAAAGGCAGAGCTGGTATCATCTGCTTTGTTCCCAGAGCCTCTGCAGGTCTTGGCACACAGTAGGTAGTAATGAATAAAAATGAATGAATGATATAGTGAGTGAATGAATGAATGAACAAATAGTAATGAATGAAATGAATGAATGAGAATGGGTGAATGAATGAATGAACAAATAGTAGTGATGAATAAAATAAATGAGTGAAAGAGTGAGTGAATGAATGAATGAACAAATCATTTGAGCACTTGCTGTAATGCTCACCACCTCAAAACTCAAATTCTAGCCATGAAGGAGATCCACAGCTGTTTGGCCAGCTATAGAAATTCACTTAAACTTCACCTACAAGTGTTGCCTCTCCCAGAATTTAGCATCTTCATGTCTTTCTCAAACAGGAAAGGTCAGAGAAAGCCAGAGCGTTCCCTCAGCCTCTGAGCTCCTGGACCTTAACTCCTACTAAGCAGCACAAACCAAGCCAGAAGCAATCCTGCCCCAAAAGAGAAAGCGTAGGGAGCGGTGGGGCAAGGACTGGGCAAGAGGAGAAAAGGTAAAGGATGGGATTCTGGAAACCCTTTCTCCCTGGGAGAAAGAAATCAACACAACTCAGGCCTTGGACTGTCCTTTCTGCTGCCCACGGTGACTCAGCATGAGGGCCTGAGAGTCTTGTTGAGAAGAGATGATGGGGCAAAGAGAGAGATGGATGGGAGAAAAGGGGAGGCTTTCACAGGAAGGCAGCTGGCCCCAGTCAAGGCTGCCACTATTGACCGAAGGCAGAGCCAAGCTAGGGGCAACACTGCTCAGACCACAGGGCCAGCAGCCAAGGGAGGAGCCGACATGTGCCTTCGCAGTCTGTCTGCAAAGACCGAGCTTCCAAGCACCAAGTTCAAGCTTCCCCTACATTCTTGAACTGGTAACCACGATAGCAGTAGCAAAACCAATAAGAACAGCTAACACAGGGACTTCCCTGGTGGTCCAGAAGTTAAGACTCCATGCTTCCAATGTAGGGGATGAGGGTTCGATCCCTTGTCAGAGAACTAAAATCCTACATGTCGTGTGGCTAAAAAAGATCTCTGTGCCTATGGTGACAGTTACACAGCTCTGTAAACATAGCAAAAATCACTGAATTGTGCAAGTAAAGCAAGTGAATCATATGGTATGTAAATTATAACTCAATAAAACATTTTTTTAAAAAGTAATGCTTAGACTTCCTATAAGCCAAGCTTTATACACACTCAAGCCACCATCATTAACCCCATTTTATAGGCAAGGAAACTGAGGCATAGAGAGGTTAAGTAGCTTGCCCAAGTTAGTGTGGGAGTGGCAGAGCCAAGGCCTGGGTGACCAGCAGTCCTGGTTTGCTCAGGACTGTCCCCACTTCAGTGCTGAAAGCTGTGTGCCCTAGCAAATCCTTCAGACCAGGGCAAATCAGGTCAGCTGGGTCACCCTAACCAAGGGCAGGCAGCAAAGGACATGTGTTTAACCACTTCCTGACCCTGCTCTGGGGAGAAGCATGGTGTAACTGTTGAGAACAGGAGCTTTGAAGCCAGGATTAAGATCCAGGTTCAAGTCCAGGCTTTGCTTAGTATTAACCACCGGGTCTATACAGCTCAGTTTTCCTTCTCTGTAAAATGGGAATCATAGAATCTACTTCATTTTCTGGTTTCAAAACCTGGGGCTGGACACAGGATGAATGCCTAACTTTGGTTAGACTGTATGGTCAACCCCATCATTGTAAGTGAGATAATAATACATTAATCTGGAGGGAATGAGGTGGGAACTGCTCAGGCAGGAAGGTGTGTTAAGGCCAGGAACTCTGCTCACTGCTCTGTGGTGACCTCAATGGGAAGTCCAATAGGGAGGAGACCTACGCATATGTATGGCTGATCACTCTGCCGTACAGCAGAATCTAACACAACGTTGTAAAGCAACTACATGCCAATAAAAATTAACTTTAAAAAACCATTTAAAAAAATTTTAAAATAATGTTACTGTTACTGATTCTCAGGTTAACAAGGAAATCAAAAGAACTCTGAGTTGCATTCATCTAATGACAAATTCAATATAAAGCCCTGAAAAGTATATCCGAATTCATGACACACTTCTAAGAAGATAGTAAGTATAAAAATAAATGTGAATGTTAAAAAAAAAAAAAAGGATTAAAACAGCCATCTGCTGAGGGCAGAGGGCAGAGGGCGGGGGGAGGGGAGCCCGCATCACCCTCAGGTCACACCAGCTGCTGTCAGCTCCTGTCCCAGGCGTCCAGATATCCTGGCGGGATGAGGAGGCGTCTGGGCTGCCCACTCAATCCTGTCTTGGCTCCAGAGCCCAGGCAAGCTACGCTGCTTCCTCTCCGCTCCTCGGCTATTTGTGGCCCTCCTTACAGGGCCAGGGGCCAGGGAGGTGTCTGGCCCCTTCCGTCTCATGTTCTCTTTCAAACAATGGGAACCAGGATGTTCCATCCATCAAGCCCCCTAACTGTCTCACCATCCTCTTCGAATCCCAGACCCACAGCCCTGCCTGGCCTCGGGCACCCCATGAATACCTAGGCCAGGGCTGACGGTGTAGGAGGTGGTCCCCGCCACTTATGCTAATTCGGATTCCAGCCCTGATGAGTGTCATCATTCAGTCACTCAACAAACACCAGGGGAGGCCCAGAATCCCGGTGAGCCTGTGCTCTGGACTCAGATGGCTCCAGGTTCAATCGCAGCTCACTGCTAACCAGCACCCCCACATCAACCTGAGTAACAAGTTGATTAACCTCTCTGTAGCCCTGTGTCCACAGATCAATTAAAAACAATCCTTACGACACAGTGTTGTGTAAAACCCTTAGAAGGATGTCTGGAAAATAATAGATGGTCAATAAATGTTACTTATCATTAATCGCAATATTATTAATGTTAACATTAATATGTCTTGCACTTTCATTATATCCTTATTTCTGGGCCACTTTGAAAGCACAGTTGACCCTTAAAACAGCGGAGGGTTCAGGGACACCAAACCCCTGGCCCACTTGTAAGCTGGTTCTTCTGCTCACTGGGGATTCAGACTATTCCTTATCTTTCCCTCATACCTGTTTTGTTGTTATTCTGTGTCACTTCCTCTCCTGGGCAGTGGGTCCTGACCCAGAGCTTCCTGCCCTGGTCAGTCTAGGCACTTCCATCCCAAGCTACCCCACACTGGTGGCGCTAGTAGTAAGGAAGCCACCGGCCAGTGCAACGGACCTAAGAGATGCAGGTTCGATCCCTGGGTCGGGAAGACTCTCTGGAGAAGGGAACCGCAACCCACTCCAGTACTCTCGCCTGGGAAGTCCCACGGACAGAGGAGCCTGGCAGGTGGGCTACAGTCCATTAGGTTGCCTAAGAGTCTAACACGACCGAGCGTTGAGTACACATTACAACACAGACATTCACCAAACCTACATTTGCATCAAATGCCCAGGCTGGCTGGTGGCTGTGTTTTACATCAGTTTTTATTACTGCTACATGCAAAAAAAGATATAATGAAAATATACCTGAACATACAAATTAAGGCGGGAGAGAGGCACCAGGGTCAGGCATTGATCTTTTGTTTGTGTAAGAGATTGACTCAGCAAATCCTTTTTATGGTTGTAGTGAAAAGGGAGGCTCTGCATCAGCTTCAGAGACAGTAAATCCTCAACTGGGAATAAATTCTTCTGGTCAGCTGACACTTGTCTGGTCTAAGGACCAAAGACCTTTCTACACCTCTGATTCTTCTTCTTCCCTCCACGACTCAGAATGAGCTGTGCTGTGCTGTGCTGAGTCTCTGTCATGGCCGACTCTTTGCAACCCCATGGACTGCAGCCCACCAGGCTCCTCTGTCCATGGGAATTCTCCAGGCAAGAATACTGGAGTGGGTTGCCATTTCCTTCTCCAGGGGATCTTCCTGACCCAGGGATTGAACCCAGGTCTCCCACATTGCAGGCATATTCTTTACCATCTGAGCCACCAGGGAAGCCCAGGAATACTGGAGTGGGTAGCCTATCCCTTCTCCAGGGGATCTTCTCAATCCAGGAATCTAATTGGGATCTCCTGCACTGCAGGTGGATTATCTACTAGCTGAGCTACTAGGGAAACCCAGAATGAACTACACTCACATAATTAATTAAAAAAAAAAAATCACTTCTCACTGGAATGTAAATTGGTTCAACTTTTGGAGAGAGGAATTTGGCAGAGTCATTCTCATGAGCACCAACAATGTCTAAACATCTCGATCCAATAAATCTGCTTATAGAGACCTCACCCAAGCAAATTATCTAAAACAGGGGCAAAAGTGACCAATTTCACAACCACATTTTTGTTGTAGTTTTCAGTCTAAAATTTAAAAACAGGAAACAATTGGATCACAACCAACACGGTCTTACTAAGTCAATGTTCTGATTATCTCTTTTGACATAAAAAAAAATCCCAAAGCTAAGTGACAACCACAGTTCTTTATTTAGTTGACAAATCTGCCACATAGGCAAGGCTGACTGGAGATGCACCTTTTCTGTTCTATTTGTCTAAGTGCGGTTGACTCAAAAAGTGAAGGGCTGGACAGTGTCTCTCGACACAGTATTTCCAATATGGTAGCCTCAGGATGTTTTAAATGATGGCTCAGGACTCCACAGGACAGAAAATAGAACCTGCAAGCTTCTTAAAGTGTGGGCCAGCACAGCACCACTTCTGCTTTTTTCTACTGGTGGAAGTCACAGAGCACCATGGTGTCTATACAGGGCAGGGGCCACAGACCCACCTCTTTCATGGGGGATGCATCTAAGAATTTGCAGACATGGAGATACAGAGGTAGAAAACAGACTTGTGGACACAGTTGGGGGAAGGAGGGGGTGAGACAAATTGAGAAAGTAGCGCTGAAACATACACACCGCCACATGTAAAATAGATCGCCAGTAAGAATTCGTTGTAGGACTCAGGGAGCTCAACTCCGTGCTCTCTGACAACCTAGAGGAATCGGAAGGGGTCGGGGTGGGGGTGGGAGGGAAGCTCAAGAGGAGAGGACATATGTATGCTCATGGCTGATTCATCTTGATGTTTGGCAGAAACCAACACAACGGTGTAAAGCAATTATCCCCCAATTAAAAATATAAAAATTTTTAAAAAGGAAATTCGTGTTCAAATCAGCATTTTCCAGCTCCAATGAGGAATTCTGGCTCTGTGCAGCCCCAGCTGGCTGGTGGGTTCCTGATGTACCCTCAGGCCGGATGTTAGATTCCCTGGTTTGCCATGGCTCCTCACTGGCCTGCTTTCTGCGTTAATGATTCCTGTCGGCCCCCCTGGGCGTGTGTGTTTGCAATCTCATGAACCATATTTATAACTGAAAATCAACAACAACAGATTCATAAAGCAAATCTAAGGCAAAGCACGTTGAGATGATTTGTCTGGAGAGAGGAGAATGGTGCCTGAGATGCAAAGCACTCGTGATTTCCCTATACCTTGTACAAACTGGTCATTATTCCAGTCCTCTTGGATGGGAGCCACCCTCTCGACTCCCATCTCATGCTTCCTCCCCAGGGAATGGTGTCAGAAAGGTGTGGTGACCCTCCAGCCACTGATGCCCTCAGTGAAAGTGAAAGTCACCCAGTCGTATTCGACTCTTTGCGACCCCATGGGCTATACAGTCCATGGAATTCTCCAGGCCACAATACTGGAATGGGTAGCCTTTCCCTTCTCCAGGGGATCCTCCCAACCCAGGGATCAAACTCAGGTCTCCCACATTGCAGGGGGATTCTTTACCAGCTGAGCCACAAGGGACGCCCAAGAATACTGGAGTGGGTAGCCTATCCCTTCTCCAGGGGATCTTCCCAACCCAGGAATCAAACCAGGGTCTCCTGCACTGCAGGTGGATTCTTTACCAACTGAGCTATCAGGGAAGCCGTCAGTAATGCAGACAAATCTCTGAAAAGGAGTGGGTGGGAGAGGCTGGAGAGTGAGGAAAGGGCTAGAAACAGGAGTTCAAGAGCAATATAGACAATGTTTGTTTCTCTTTTTTCTGACTTACTTCACTCTGTATGACAGACTCTAGGTTCATCCACATCACCACAAATGACTCAGTTTCATTCCTTTTTATGGCTGGGTAATATGCCATTGTATATATGTACCACATCTTCTTTATCCATTCATCTGTCAATGGACGTCTAGGTTGCTTCCAGGTCCTGGCTATTGTAAATAATGCTGCAATGAACATTATGATACATGTTGTCTTTTTGAGTCGTGGTTTTCTCAGGGCACGTTATCTGTGGTTGACGTGCTGGGTCATATGGTAGTTCTGGGCTCCCCTGGTGGCTCAGGCAGTAAAGAATCTGCCTGCAATGCAGGAGACCTGGGTTCGGTCCCTGGGTTGGGAAGATACTCTGGAGAAGAGAATGGCAACCCACTCCAGTATTCTTATCTAGAGAATTCCATGGACGGGGGAGCCTGGCAGGCTACAGTCCATGGGGTTAGCCCATGGACTGAGTGACTAACACTTTCACTTTCATGGTAGTTCTATGAAATCTAGAAGAATGGGACTGATGGACCTATTTGCAGGGCAGGAATAGAGACTCTGGGGCAGAGAACAGACATGTGGACCCACAGAGGGAAGAAAAGGGGGAGACGAATTAAGAGAGCAGCATTGATGTATATACGCCATTGTGTTGTATATATACGTGTAAACATATTTACACATATATATTGACCATGCATAAAATAGATAGCTAGTGGGAAGCTGCTGTATGACAGAGGGAGCTCAGCTCAGTGCTCTGTGATGATTTAGGGGGGTGGGAGGGAGGTTCAAGAGGGGGGGGCTGTATCTATACACATGACTGATTCATGCTGCTTACAGCAGAAACTAACACAACATTGCAAATAAATTACGCTCCAATTAAAACAAAAGAAAGAACAGTATAAAGACCAGCATCGGAGTGGGTGCCTTGGGTTTGGGAAGTCGGTGGTAAAAGGAAAGAGCATGACATGGCCATTTCATGCCTCCTAGCAAACAAGATAGAGGGCAGCAAACCCTGGCTGCCCAAACTGCTCAAGAAATCGCTAGCAAATTGCCCCACGGACAGCTAGAAGGAAACCACCCCTCTCTCTCAATTACAATCACATGGGTACCAACTTCGTCACTTTTACTATCTGTGCAAATCACCTGGGCCATTAATCATTTAACATTTTATTCTAAGTTGATTTATAAAGAATCTTAAAAAAAAAAAAACCTCAGCTTTATCCTATGAAATTCCCTCTGAGAAATCATGAGAAGCACAGGTGATATGCTACACACACACATGCACACACAATGGTGTTCTACAGCTGGCCCAGAATGCTAATAAAAGCCAGTGTTCACTTGTCGAGGGTTTTGCAAGCCTGCCGTGAAACACGGCCATTGTGAAAAATTAAATTATATAAGCTTGCAATTACATTTTTTGAAAGATAAGGGGAACAAGTACACAGAACTCATGCCTTCCTAATTATTTTACTATATTTTCCTATGACCTCTGTCCTTCAGGTTACTTTCACCTATTGCTTCTGGAGGATGAGAATTCTGTATTCATTATCTAATCCTATGCATCTTTTCCCAACGCTGTGTTCAGTGACACAACAGCAGCTTGATGGTAAGTGTATTGACACCATTTCTGTTGCTGTTGTTTAGTCGCTAAGTCATGTCTGACTCTTTTGGGACCTCATAGACTGTAGCCCACCAGGCTCCTCTGTCCATGGGATTTCCTGGGCAAGAACACTGGTGTGGGGTGCCATTTCCATCTCCAAGGGATCTTCCCAACCCAGGGATTGAATCTGCGTCTCCTGCATCAGCAGATGGCTTCTTTACCAGTGAGCCACCGGGGAAGCACATGGAAACTGGAAAATGCTCCAGATCAGGGCTTTCTTCCCCTGCAGGGCTGATGGCTAAATATTCACCAGCACACTGCATCTTTGTGTCATTATTAAATCCATATACTATGTCTAGTATAATATGTAACATAAATATATTTCCCCTGCATGCATGTATGCATGTTAAGTTGCTTCAGTTGTGTCTGACCCTGTGCACCCCCATGGACTGTAGCCCGCCAGGCTCCTCTGTCCATGGATTCTCCAGGCAAGAATACTAGAGTGGGTTGCCATGCCCTTCTTCCCAACCTAGGGACTGAACCCTCATCTCTATGTCTCCTGCCTTGGTAGGCAAGTCCTTTACCACTAGCACCACCCAGGAAGCCCCTTTGTTTCCCCTAATGCTCCCTAAAACAAATCAGCTGCAAAATTAAAATACATATATTTCCATATTCTCGCAAAGGTCTTGCTGTCTGTCAGCAAGGAAGTGCTGTGGTTTGACACTCACTAGCCCCACCCAACAGTCATTCATTAGGGACCCTGAGGCCTGGAGGAGGTGAGTGACTTTGCTGAGACTACAGTGAGTTCAAGGCCAACTGCAGCTTCTCCCCCACCCTACCCCTGGTCCCCAGCCCCCTGCACTGCTTTCTGTTCAATGCTGCCTCCCTGTGCAGATGACAAGTCATGTCACTAAAACACACATCTCAGAAACAACTAGAATAAGAGGGAGCAGCCCGAATGAGGGCAGAAGGGAGGGGACTGGGAGGGGGGGACGGTAAAAGGGTCATTAGAAATTCACACAATTAATTAGACAATGCTGGGGACACAGTCATCTCTAGTCCATTGATAAAGATGGCAGGGGGGGCCTATTCCCACCTGGGACCCCTTGCGGGTTACCGCAAGCTAAGCTCAATGATCCGCCTCCCCCTCAATCCACCCCCTCCCCAAACCCGCTTAAATATTTGATGCAAAATTAAAGCCCGTTCCAACTTTTATGAGCAGTGTAGCAGTGTCTGCTGCCACTGGGCGCCCACTGCCCCCCACCATTTCCCAAGGAGCCCCCCACCCCCCACCCTGGGCGGCCTCGGCCTCCATCAAGCCGAGTGCATTAGGACAATTAGCACCAGCCCACTGGCGCCAATTAGCAACCAACAGTGTCTATATTATGGAGAGGGAGCGGCAGGGGCGCCTGTGTCTCCAGCCGGCCTTCACACTCAATTACATTAAGTGGAGGCTCCGAGCTGCGGTCGGTGGGATGGACAGTTGCTGGAGTAATTGTGTCTTCTCTGCTCTGTAGGTGATCTTCTCCTGGCTCCCCGATCCAGGACTGACTCCTCTTCCTGTCCACTTCCATCAATATACATGCCTTCAAAAGGCAGGAGGAAGCGAGGCACAGGGTGGAGGCTGCAATGGCCAGAGAAGCAGGTCGGGCATGGAGCTAAATCATAATAAGGATCATTCATTCATTCGTTCATTCACTCCACAAATGCTCTCCCAGAGCCCACTGTGCGCCTGGCAGGCTTCTACAGCCAGCACCAGCTAGAAAACGGGCCTTGATCAATGCAAGTGACGATAGGAGATTCATTGTCCAAAAGCTGTTAGGAGCTTCACAATGGTGGCACAGAGCATTAAACCAACTGCAGGATCCTTCTGAGCAGGAACCCCTTCTCAGCCCTTCTGAGCCCAGCCCAATAGCACGGTTGTGGGGTTTGGGGATATGGTCGTGAACACATCTGAACAAACATGCCTGCCTTCAGGGGACCTCACAGTTTGATGGAGAGAGTTGTTGTTCAGTCACTAAGTTGTGTCCAACTCTTTCCGACCCCATGAACTGCAGCACGCCAGGCTTCCCTGTCCTTCACTATCTCTCAGAGTTTGCTCAAACTTATATCCATCTAGTCGGTGATGGCATCCAACCATCTCATCCGCTGTTGCCGTCTTCTCCTTTTGTCTTCAATCTTTCCCAGCATCAGGGTCTTTTCCAATGAGTCAGCTCTTAGCATCAGGTGGACAAAGTATTGGAGCTTCAGCTTCAGCATCAGTCCTTGCAATGAATATTCAGAGTTGGTTTCCTTTAGGATTGACTGGTTGGATCTCCTGGCAGTCCAAGGGCCTCTCAAGAGTCTTCTCCAGCACCACAATTCAAAGCATCCATTCTTAGGCACTCAGCCTTCTTTATGGTCCAGCTCTCACATTCATACATGACTACTGGAAAAACCATAGCTTTGACTATATGCATCTTTGTCGACAAAGTGATGTCTCTGCTCTTTAATATGCTGAGCACCGAAGAATTGATGCCTTAGAACTGTGGTGCTAGAGAAGACTCTTGAGGGGCCTTTGGACAGCAAGGAGATCAAAGCAGTCAATCCTAAAGGAAATCAACCCTGAATATTCATTGGAAGGACTGATGCTGAAGTTGAAGTTCCAATACTTTGGCCACCTAATGCAAAGAGCGGACTCATTAGAAAAGACTTTGATGCTAGGAAAGATCGAAGCCAGGAGAAGAGGATGACAGAGGATGGGATGGTTGGATGGCATCACCAACTCAATGGACATGAGTTTGAGTAAACTCTGGGAGACAGTGAAGGCAGGGAAACCTGATGTGCTACAGTCCATGGGGTTGCAAAGAGTCAGACACAACTGAGCAACTGGTCAACCACAACAACACGCTGTCTAGATTTGTCACTGCTTTCCTTCCAAGGAGCAAGCACCCTTTAATCTCGTGGCTATAGTCACCATCTGCAGTGATTTTGGAGCCCAGGAATACAAAATCCGTCACTGTTTCCACTTTTTTCCCTTATATTTGCCATAAAGTGATGGGATGGAGAAAGACAGATGATAAATGGTAAACAAAATGGATTAGCAAATTGACTAGTTCATAAGAGGAGAACAAGTGTAATAACAAAAAGAAAAAAAAATAGAGGATGGTAAGAGGATTGAGAAGGGTCAAGAGGATTAGATGGACACTGGAAGAGGTCTTGGGATGGTGAGATTCAGGCAAAGAGCTGAGGGAGGTGAGGAAGTGAGGCTTCTAGGTGAGGAAACAGCCAGTGCAAAGGCCCTGTGGCAGAGGTGTATCCAACCTGTTCAAACAGAGGTGGAGGTTAGAGTGGTAGAGTGAAGCAAAGAGGGAGAGGAGGAGATGGAGGCCCAAGAACTAAGTGGGATGGAGAGGTGCTGGGTGAATCAGGTAGGGTCTTCTTGGCCATTATGGAGACCACGACTTTTGCTCAGGGAGTGGCACTGAATAACGTGACTCAGGGAGCCACAGTGAAGGGCTGTGAGCAGAGGCGGGAATGCATTAAGAGAGTCACTCAGAAAGCTGTATTGGGACTAGACAGTAGACAGGAAAACATGGATGCGAGGAGGCCCATGAAGAGTCTACCCCTAGGCTCTGTGGGCCCCATTGTCTCTGTTGTATCAACCTACCTTTGTGACTACAGCACAAAATCAGCCGTGCCGAAACAAATGGGCCTGGCTGTGCTCCAATAAAACTTTCTGGACGCTAGATTCTGAGTCTCCTACAATCATTACATGTTATGAAATATGCTTTCTTTAGCTTTCTCCCACAACCACTGCAAAAGGTAAAAACCAACCTTAGTTCATAGAGTCAAAAAAAAAAAAAAGGCATCAAGCCAGCTTTGACCCAGAGGCTATAGTTTATCAAACTCAGATTTCTAAAGTCATCCAGAGTGGGAACATGACACTAGGGAAGTGGGAGATTCTAGATATATTTTATGGTACAGACAATAGGACCTCTGAGAAGTTGGCTGCAAAGTGTTAAGAGAGAGAGGAAAATCAGAGATGACACCAAAGCTTGGGGCCTGAGGAACCAGAAGTGAAAGTTGCTCAGTCATGTCTGACTCTTTGTGACTCCATGGACTATACAGCCCATGGAATTCTCCAGGCCAGAATATTAGAGTGGGTAGCCGTTCCCTTCTCCAGGGGATCTTCCCAATCCAGGGATCAAACCCAGGTCTCCCGCATTGCAGGTGGATTCTTTACCAGCTGGGCCACAAGAGAAGCCCTTAGGAGGCACCTAAGTGGAGAAAACCCTGGGAGGTGAGGGATTGAGGGAGGGGCAAGAGAGGATGGTAATTATCATAATAGCTATGTATTAGTTATTTAATGAGCGTTTAATACACACACAGCTCTTTAAGATCACCACTTCACTTATCTTTACATTATTCAGTGAATTTGACTCCATTCATGTATCAACCCATTTCACAGATGTGGAGACTAAGTCTCAAAGGAGTGAAATGCCTTTCTCCAAGATCACCAGCAGTTAAGTTGCAGACATAATTCTTTCCCATTCAGGAGCCTGTGTTCTGCAGTATAACATGACTCTGCCCACACTGCTTTGGAGATCTTACTTGAAGTAAGAGACTTTAAAACAGAAAGGAGAAGCCTTCCCAAGCCTACATGTTGATTTATGCTTTAACTTTAGAGTTGGCTTAGGGGTATGTGCTTCAACAAGCCTCTTCCCATCTCTGAGCCTCAGTCTCCCCATCTTTTCATGTGGCTCCATGACTAGAGGCTTTCCCAGGTTCCTTTCTGACTTAACATCTGCTGACACCCTGATTACTCAGCTTCTGACCAAAGGCAACCGGGGCAGGGATGGTCCAACAGCCTAAGGAAAGAGTTAATTCCCTGTGAAATTACTGGGGATTATTTATGTCTTTACATGGTGTTTTATATGTTTAAGTGCTTTCTGATCTTTTAGAAGCTAATCCCAGGTGGAGGCTAAAGGCCTATAAGAAAGTTCCTGTCAGTAGAAGCTGGAATTTGAAGAAGCTAGCAGATCTGACGCAGCAGATGGTGTCTGCAAGAAAGTCAGTCCTCCCGCTCCCATCTCCACCAGGCTCTTACCCCAAGAACTGCCCCTGGTCACCTTGATGTGGGCCTCCAGCCTCCGTAGGAACTGGGTACCTGATCAGGTGGGAAGATGGGTGAATATGAACAAAACAGCCCCTGATCTTGAGAGGCAAGCAGTCAGACTATGTGTGTGTATGTGTTCAGTCTTATCTAACTCTTTGTGACCCCATGGACTGTAGCCCCCCAGGCTCCTCTGCCCACGGAATTCTCCAGGCAAGAATACAGGCAAGGGGTTGGATGCCATTTCCTCCTCCAGAGGGATCTTTCCAATCCAGGGATCAAACCCGTGTCCCTTGTGTTTCCTGCTTCAGCAGGTGGATTCTTTACCACTGAGCCACCTGGGAAGCCCAGGAGAGACATAATTTATGCATAAGCCTGGAACCAGCCTCTGGATGCTCACTGACAGTCTAGTGCAAAAGGCAGCCACTGAATCACACATGTGTACACTCACTCTGTGCTAGGCACTGGAGATGAATGAAGTGGTGGCCAGACCCAAGGTTCCTGCTGGCATCCAACTTTCCACCTAGTAAAGTCTGTGTGGTAAGCCAGAGAAGGATGCTGGCCTTTTGACCTCTGGCTCCAGCCTGGTAGACTGGGTTGCCCCAGACATCTTTTTCTGGGGGGGGGAGGGGGACTGTATCTCATTTGCTGACAGTGAATTATTTGTGCAATTATTAAAGAACCAAGTGGTGAAGATCTGGGCCTCTGGTCTCCTCCTGCCTGAGTGGGTATGCCAGCGGTGTCGCTTCATTGCTCTGTGCCTCAGTATCTTCATCTGTCAAAGGAGGATAATACTAGCCTCTGCCTCACAGGGCTGCAGTGAGGGTTGTCTGCGACCATGGGACACGCAGAGAACTGAGGCATTGTAATATGCTATGTAAATTACCAGGAGCTGTGGGCTTTTAAAGGGTTTCTCTGGTGGCTCAGGGCTAAAGAATCCTGTTTGCCAATGCAGGAGACACAGGAGTCAAGGGTCCGATCCCTGAGTCAGGAATAATCCCCCGGAGGAGGGCATGGCAATATCCACTCCAGTATTCTTGCCTGGAGAATCCCACAGACGGAGGAGCCTGGCGGGCTATGGTCCACAGGGTCACAAAGAGTTGGACACGACTTAGCGACTGCTGTACCACACTAAGAGATGGGGATGCTGGAAGTTCAGAGAGACTAAGTGAACACGGTCAGGTCAACAAGACAGTGAAGAAGGAAGCCTGGATAGGAATGCCAGGTTGGAGCCCATGAATGTTTGAGCTTCTCAGACTGTGACTCCAGACGGATCCCGGGGTGTGCGTGTGCTACTCCGCTGATTCCCACTGTACTCTCTCCGGCCCGGGGCCTCTGCATTCTCCAACTACGGAATCTGACCTCAGAGTCCAGGACCAACCACAGAAAGGGCAGGCCAAACGGACACCTCCTCTTCTTCCCTGGAAAACAGCCCTAAATGCCCCCGCCTCTGGCCCAACCCAGGGCGGACACTTTTCAGCACCTGCCCCAACCAGAGCCCCAGAGGCTCGGGGCTCATCCCAGCTCCCATCTTCCTATTAAGACTTCATCAAATGTATCTCCTCTGCCCTACATTTTAATTATTCAAAATCCAGGCTTTTCCTCTGCCTTGCCCTCCTTCCCTTAATACTCAGCCTGACCTCTCTCCTCCAGTCTTCTCCTTCCTCAGCGGAGCTCCCCGTCCCAAGGCAGACCTTTCACTTGGTTCAAGTTGAGCTCTCCCATTCATTCAGCACAAAACAGGCACACACATTCATCCCACGTGGCTGCCTTTTCTGCACCCTTGGGTTTTGCTTGGTCACATTTCTTTTATTTTTTTTTAAGATTTTTTTTTGGATATGGACCATTTTTAAAGTCTTTACTGAATTTGTTACAATATTGCTTCTGTTTCATGTTGTGATTTTTTTTGGCCATGAAGGATGTGGGATCTTAGCTTCCCAACTAGGAAAGCACCCTAGTGCT